GCCGTGTTTGCGGCGAGCTATCTTTCGATAAAAATGGCACAAATTTCTGCGGCCTATCGGTCGCTGACATCGGTGCGCAATTGACATTGAACAATGAACCGCAATTGCCGCGGCGGCGAAACGTTGTTTATTACACGCGCGTTCGGTCATGGTGCACGTACATCCCGTGGCACCGAATTATTATCGCGCCGTAGTAGGGGAGAACGATGACCGTCGTGTATAAGAGGAGGCTCTTCGCCGAAAACCCTAACTCGCCAAAGAGCCTCCACCGGCTGGCCTTGGAATATGAATAGATTGCTCGCGAAGAGTGCATTGCACTGTTGCGTAACTGTAAGTTGCGCGTTTTATTTGCAAGTTTCGTGACGGCAATCGCGAGCCGCTTGTACGATCTCGTTATTAAACTCCCGCAATCTCGTCTCAACGATAATATTTGCATCATATTTGTCGAATATCATATACATATATATACATATATATATATATGTATACACAAACCCGTACATAAAGCAATAATGCTGTAGATGTAGATAATGCGCACGGAAACTTACTAATGTTCACAACAACATGTTAAAAAGAAACACGAGATGAATAATACATTTTGGCAAGTCGAAAAGTAAGTTGCAACCAACATACATTGAATAATTATTTTTTAAGTAAACTATGCAACTTTATTGTTTCTTGTTTTTGAGTAAAATATACAATTTTTATATACAATCCCTCTTTTTCAAAGAAATGTAGCCCTAAAAATATAGTTCTTTGCACTTCGCGACGCCGATCTTATCGGCCGTTTGCGCGATAATCGGCAATCTCTTGTTTACGATGACACCGTCGGTCTGCTCCTTGTTGAATATAGTCCTCATCTATGAACAATATCTAAATAGATACGCGCGCGGTTGCCGCGCGCGAAAACGCTCTCGTACGTTATCTTTCTACTCGCTCATTCAGTAACAGTCGGTTGCGGCCGCCCGACGAGTCGATGACGAAGTGTCCCCGCGGTTTGTCATAAACAACGTCCTCCGAGGTCTTTCGGTGCGCGTTACGCAACGCGACCACCGAAATTCTTTGTAACATATCGCACGCGCGTGTGTATATTTTGCATGCGCTCACACTCCGATAACGGAACAACAGCGCTTGTGCGCGTGAGTGACATCTCGAAAGTAAAGAGAAGGAGCGACTTGCGTCGCGGCGAGTCTTGCAATTACAAAAAAATTTATTGATACAAATCGGCACACACACACACACATACACACGCTGATAAACTCTGCATGTTTCATTATTATTTCCAAGTATTGATATTTGCTTGCGCAGCGAACTAAAACCGCGCTGCGGATTCTACCTGCGCATTTTTATCGAATATAAAAGTTCTGCGCAAATGTACGAAACGCGCGTGGAAAGATTGCGCGAAAGTTATCGACAGTTTTAGGAAATAAAAAAAGCTAAACAGTCAAATTTATTTTTAACAAATTTATTTTCGAACTCGCCGAGAAATAAAAAAGCGCGCAATGGTTGTTTGGTATTTTTGATTTTTTTTTTCTTCCCGTTTGACGTGCCGCCAGCCACCACTGCATCAGTCTGACTATTTGGCACTCGGTATTTTTAACTTTCGAACGTTTCGAACGCGCGTTCGAAATTTTGTTGTTTTTTTCTCGTTGCGCAACGCGCAATAAGCAAATCGGCGCGATACCCGCGTGCATGCGCGGTTCGGATTCTGCTTATGAACGTTGACATCAGCGCGATGGCGCAATAATCGCCACCCGTCATCGTCGGCGTGGTTCGAAGAAAGAAAAAAAAATACCCACACACAAACGCGAGATTTCGGACGTTGGCCTGTGCTTGCACACAGAGAGAAACGAGCGTAGCCGTATATTTGGCTCGAACACACCTGTAGCGACGCGCGCGTCGCTATATTTGGCAAGTTTTAAGCGGATGTCGGCATATTGTTGTAACGCTCTCGGCGATTAGAGAGCGTTAGATACGTGGCGGGTGTAAAAAAAAACTTATTTTTATTCTCCGGAAATTCGATATTATATATCGAGATTCGATATATCGCGTCTGTTAGAAGACGCGAACGTGTTTATTATTACACGCGTGACAAATTTACAACACGGTGTATTTCAGCAGGCAGCTCTCGGCCGCAGGAAGATCCTCGGCTACTACGAAGTCATGAAATTTTCTTTCTCTCTCTCTTTCTCTTCTTCTTTCGTTCTTTTTTTTCTTCTCGCGCCGAAGAATACGTATTGAATTTAATATACGTGCTGAATATATAAGAGGCTTGAAATTGGGCGCGCAACGGGGAGCGCACGAAAATTTGATCTCGCACTGAAAGGTAAAAAAAAGAGTTAGACTTACACTCTTTCGGGGATCCATTCGGAAAGACAGGTGCCTCGAACCACCTGGTCGCGCCTTCGCGTCATCTCTCTCCTTTCTCTTCTCGCACTTGATTTCCTTATTCCGAAGGTTCCCGCCGCGCGCGATTAGTCTTCTTTCCACACGCATATCCACTTCCGAACGTGCGCCGTTGCTGCACGTTCAACAGCGGAGAGTTCTCTCGCGCCCGGAAGTTTCGCGGTATATCCGACGAAATACCGCACGCAAGATGACACGGCGCAAAATCACGCAAATTACAAGCGTAGATTTTATGAAAGTTTTTTAAATTGCGATTTTTGACTCTCTCTCTCGTACGATAAAATTTTGCACACGTGACGAAATCCGGAATATACAATTAACGTGTCGCAAGTGCTCTTTGAAGTTACGGTCACGGACTGTTCTTTTTTTTCTTTTTTTTTTTTTCATGCACAGCCGTTTCTGAATGTCGCAGGAGCTCTTGCATGCAACCATCGCCCGTGTCGTGTTACACGCACGCCCGCGCATTATACTTGAGCGCGTGAATTATGAATTACATTAAGATCGTGTCCGAAGATGACCCACATACGCAGCGGGCTGCGAGAAAAGGGCATCGGTGTCACGCCGCCGGCGTGCTGTGGTTCTTCCTTTATATCGCGCGCGGAGAGGGAAATGCCGGGGCGGGAGGGGAAGGGGAGAAAGGGTTCGTCGGTCACCGGTTTCCTTTGCACGCCAAAATTCCCGCGCCCGGTGCTCGCTTACATTGTGTAAGCCGTGAGAAAGAAAGAAAAGGTCTTGTGCGTGGTCTTTTACGACGTGGACCAAAAAATTTCTATGCTAATTATTCCCGCGAATAAGTTAAACCAATTATCGCAGAATTAGGCTTTTAGGCTGTGAGCGCGCGGCGCACTAAATTAAATTTATATTCTAATAATCACGTACGTGTGTGCCATCGTAGCGTTTGCAAGAGAAAAGTTTTGCGGCAATATATATATATATAATTTACTCAGGTGTGCAAATGAGAAACGAGCGATGTCACATGTATATATTTCGTGGCTCATCCATTTTTATCTCTTCTATTTTCTTTTTGTTTATTTGTTTGTTTTTGTTTTTTGTTTTTTTTTTGTTTTTAATGCCCAACGCGCGATTATTTTTTGGATGTTTCAGGAGTTACGTTCAAAGCGCACAGGTTGATCCTTGCGGCATGCAGCAAGCACTTTCAGGAGCTCTTCGAAGGAATGCCGCCTTCTCCCGCGGGACTAATAGTTATTCTCGACGGAACGAGTGCCCACAATATGGCGTCTCTTCTCGAATTCATGTACCGTGGAGAGGTGCACGTGTCCCAGGAATCCCTCAGCTCCTTCCTCAAGGCAGCTGAATGCCTACAAGTATGCGCTTGTCTTTCTTTTTGTCCTTAAATAATGACGTTAAATAATGTTCCCCCGAATAATTTTGTACACATGGTGCGACGTTCAGACATTTTCACGGGCTGAAGTGCGCGCAGTTGAAAATAAAGGTCTCTTTCTATGTGTCATTTGCGCCATGTGGAAAGGTCGGAAACAGTTAAATCATTTGTCAAGCTTATTTGGAAGATATATTGTCAGTCTTCAATTCTCTGTGTCTGTGCGTGTGAATTGTTATCAATCCGTATTTATTAAAATTTGTTTCGTAACGTTACTCGGGGCCGCACAAAGATAAATTAATAAATTAAATCAAACGAGACTTAATTAAATTATATAAAAACTAATTATAATTTTTTCAACTAATTTAACACTCGATATCATTCTCTATCACAAATCACGCTTTTTTTTCCCAAAACCCAGGTTAAAGGTTTGTCAATCGAGCATGAGAAGCTGGCGGTGGCGCAGAGGCACGCCGCGGAGAGCAGCAATACCTCTTCCGCGGACGTGGAAGGCAACGGAGGCGGTGGTGGCGGGAACGGCGGAAGTGGCGGTAGCGTCGGGGGTAGCATTGGCAGCGGTAGCGTCGGCGGTACCGTCGGCGGGATCGGTGGCGGCAACGGGGGCGGTGGCGTCGGCGATGTGAGCGATATGAGCGAAGCGGGCGAGGCCACCATGGTCAGGAACACCATTAAGAGGACTCCCACACCGGCGCCGTCGCCCGCACCGGCGTATCCCGTGCCCAACGTCTACTCCTCTCACTATTACGAGAGCCCGCCCAAGAGGTTGATGAGGTAAGACGCGAAGAGACGCGCGGCGACAAAACGAAATATAATTTTTTATAATTTTGGACTTTAACTTCATTGGGTTACATTGCGACAACTTGATGTACGAAATTAATATTTTATTGAGTCAAAGAGCACGCTTATCAGTTTGTTGCGTAAGCGAACGGTGCAATCTTCCAATAAAACTTCATCGCGTGAAGCCACATATATCGGCCAGTTGTTTGTTTACGCCGCATTCCGGTTTGTCAATTTCCGCTTTCTTTTTCTCTGATCGTCTTTCTTATCGCATTACGCGTGTTTGCCAAACATCAACATGCCTGCACTTTACACTCTTGCCGATTACTCTTTGCGTGTGTACATACATATAGTGTTTCTGTGAGTCCGTGACCGCGTATTTTTAGATCGCCGAGCGACGCCGACACGCTGGGACGAGCGAGCGTGCTGCGCGACGGCGCTGCCTTCCGGCCGGCGTCCGCCCCGCATCCGCTCCTGCTGGAGAACCACTTCTACCAACCGTTCACCCATCCCTCCGAGACTCCCTCGCATCCCCACACCGCGCCCCACACGCCCACGGAATTGGAACAGCAGCTGGAACGAGCGCGGTCCGAGGAACTCAACAACTGTGATCTCAAGGAAAACGTTGCCGAAGGTGAGACACAATCCCTTTTCTTCTTTTCTTTCGCGCGAACCGTCAAAAATTCGATCGGTCGAAACAAACAGAAATTTGTCAGCCCAAGAAATCTCGCGTTCCTGTGTCGCAGATCTTCGAATAAAGCAGGAACCAGTGGCACTGAACGATCGGGACAGGGGGGAGAAATTGGCGGAGAGATTGTCCGGCGACGTGTATCCTGGACGGGGGTTTGACGCGAGCTCGTACGGCACGAATTCGGACCATCTGCCGCACGAGGCGCAGCTGGGTCCGATGGTGTCGATGCCGCCGGTTCATCCGCCGACTCCTGATCAAAGCCGCGCGCCAGTGAGCATAGTGACGTCCGCTGTGTGGAACACGAAGATCAACAAGGCCAGCACTGTCACAACCATCGACGGCGGTGAGTGCCATTCATTGTCTTTGCATCCCGACCAAGATCCCGGCGTAGTTATTTAACTGCGTCGTACACTTTGGTTTCATGGTCAGCATGACTGGAAACTTAATTTAGCGGAAATCTGATTACGTCTTTAAAAAATCTTTTCATTATCGAACGCGATGAGAAAGACGCGGAAAAAACTTTTAGTTTCGCAAATTTTATTTTATTCAATTTTAGACACGGATAGATTGATATTAAATTGCACGAAATTGCTAGCGGCAAAATAATGTGCGCGCGTATAGGACGCGTGGAATCAAGGATAACGGGGCGAGCGAGTCGCAAGATGGACTTTGCAGGTTTGTTGAACCCGTGCGAGCGTACACGCGCGCATATAATTTTGATACATCGCCAAAATATACAACGGCAGAAACGAATGATTAATCGTTCGTGAAAATTGCGATGTTAAACGTTGTGCCCGACGATTGGCCCGATGTGAGCAATAATTACCTATCCTATCGTTCTATCTTCTCTCTTTCTCTCGAAATTTTAATCCGATGAAAGAATTTATCTTCCTTCGATTCGATGCGTTCGAGAAAAAGAAATCCTCTCTCCGAGGGAGTTACAAAATGCACGGACGTTGCATCATCGACTGCACGTGTGGCCTAACCGTGGATGTTGCAACTGCCACGTATCTCTCCGTGCCGGTATCGTTCTCCCGCTGCCGCGTTCTGATCTCCGCTTCGTTTCATCTTCGCCAGCGAGAGATAAAACGGTGCATCGTAAAAAAAGTGGCCCAACTACGTGGCGCTTGGCCACCATCTGGGATGGTCTAAAACTACTCGTTTCCTACCGAACTATTTTCTCGCGAGCTATGTGTAATTTATCTTCTCTCGCGTTATACGCATTATACATCTTGCGCGGGTTTTTATTAATTTTCAAAAAGAGGAGAAGAAAATCGAAGACGTCAGACCGATCGAAGAATCGTCAGGTAGGAGGTAGAGATAATGGCGACGCGGTTTTCGAGACGATTTTCGTGGGGATCTTTTTTCGTCCACGTGTACGTCAGTCTTCGCTTCGGCGAACGCTCTGACGTGCAGAAAGAGAGAACACGACGACGCCGTAGATTTTACGTGAGGGGGCGGAAAGAGGGAGAGGAGAGGAGGGGCCCGTTCCCCGTCCGAGCCCCCGGAACCTATGGCGGTGCCTTACGACTTGCCTTCACGGTGTGAACAAAGTGTACAAAGAGGATGCAGGCGACGGTGCAGCCACTGGGAACATCTTTTGCTCCGGCGAGCAAATCACCGAGCGTGACGCTACGACGACGCCATGTACGTATGTACGTGAAACGGACGACGACGAACGCCCGGTGCTGTAATACCAACACCAACATGTCGGTCTGATCCCAGCACCGACGTCGGCTTCGCGGCGGTCGTGTGGCCGTCGCGAATGACGCTCCGACCATTTTTAATCGTCCGCTCGTTCGCTCGCTCGCTCGCTTACCGCAAAGAAAGTAACGAAGCGGCAACTAATGCAACGGTTATTGACATTAGGCAGAGAGGAGAAAGAGCAAAGAAACGGGGAAGACGGGAAAAAGAGGGTGGTCTGTGCGCGTTAAACGCGCGCTCAGGCAAAAGTGAAAGAAGTCCCCGCTGATAGGCGGGAGGAGGAGCCATTTGTTAATGTGTGCTGTACTTTGGAGCGTCCGTGCTTTGGTCGAACTCGAAAGTTCTCACTTCTTTGCGCGTCCGTTTCAGCTTAAGTTTACCGTGCGATCGTCAAAGACATCGCGTCTCCGCGTTAGAAAAAAAAACAAAAATCAGATTGCCGTCGTGTTATGTCACACGCGGAGAAGAATTAAGCGCGAGAGACTCGGGACGCGAGAGAGAACATTGAAACAGGAAATTTTACTAATACCGCTCGTAAATTATTCAAGAGTATACGAACACAAATACGAAGAAGCGAGAGGACGATGACGTGAATTCCTGAAAAGGCGCGTTATAAAAAAAAAAAAAAAAAAAAACAAGTAGAATATGACATGCGAAGATTCTGCTGTTGCGCTGGTGTGTAAGGTGCCAGCGTGGCAATTGTATGTAGCCGAAAACTTTTTTTTCAATTCACGCGAGAAAGAATGCGGTGAGAAAAATCGAGGTGAACGCCGCGCAACTCGCGCGCGCGCGTGCAGAGAGTTACATTCTATCGAATGTACAGTTATACTCACCGAGTGGGCCTCGTCGCGTTATTTTTTTTTGTTAACTCCTTCGCGAGAATCGTCGTCTTAGCCAGTCGCGCCAGTCCGATCGTGTCATCCTCGGTATTGAATTTAAGCGACATGCTGCGCGCAGCCTGTATGTACGTATTGCGCAAGTTATTTGGCGAGTAGAGAACACGGACGAAGGACGGAAACGACACGTCGTATATGTTTCCACAGATTTAAATTTTATGGAAGCCCCTTCGAATTAGAAGTTGTTTATTACTCTTTTCTCTCTCTGTAAGCGGAGTTACGTTTTTATTCGTTTTTTCGCTTACCTGGCGTGGTGTCTTGCGCGAGCAGCTGTTCGTATTAGAACTGTATAAATTAATGGACGTAAAAAAAAAGTGAGAATAAAGATACCGAGAATAAAAAAATGTTTCAAAATAGCGTGTTGATTATTTAAAGTGAATACACGGAGAGAAAATATTATTCCGCGTGTTACATTCACATCGTTGCGATAAGTCGTGATGTTTGATCTCACCGCTGATTGCATTCGCGTCGATGAAGGGAACGTTCGTCGCAAATAAGAAAGTTTGTAAGAGATCGCGGCACTATATACACGAGAATAAAATCGCGGACGAACAGTTCGTACGCGCACAGTATGCGCACTTCACTGTGTGTACACAGATACTCTTTATTTTTCTTCTCTCATTTTTTTTCTTTTTTTTAACATCCGCGGTACTTTCTCTCGAGTTCCGAAATGCTTTCTACTGTGTGATACAACAGACCGGCTTATATCTGTGGGGTTAAGATCGTTCAATATCAAATTGCTGTACGCGATCATTTCGCAATGAGTGTAATTTAAAATGAAAACAGAAATCGATATGCGATACTAAAGTTATTTATTTTTTTTTATGCGGAAAAAAAAGCCTTAAATAACTTTATGGATGTGCTCGATAGGAGCAAACACACACGTGCGTCCTTGGAATAAAATTTATTATCGTTTCATTTTCTAATCCTCGATCGTGTGTTCCGCAACACTTGCAGCCACACGACGCACTGCAACGTTCATTATTTATGCGATTCAAGCAGACGGCGAAAATTACGAGAGCTCGACGATCATTTCGTAGGTACATATCGAAGTATAGAAGTAACTGGACAATGTGCATTGAAATAGGACGTGAAAAGTGAAAGCTGTCGAAGGGGACTCTAACGTATTTTTAATAAGTTGGCCCGTTCTTTTTCGAATGCTCGATGTTGCTTAATCCCCTTCTCTTGTGTCGCGCGTGCACTTTGCGCGATTCAGGTGACGACACGATTACTCGTTTTTTTCTCTCTCTCTCTCCCGTTCCTCGCTCGTTTACTTGCCTCGCTGAATTATAAACGAAGTCTCTTGCGAGGGAGAAGACAAGAGGGAGGGAGAAAAGGAGAAAAGAGACAGGAGGAAACGGTGCAGTTGCATGTCGGACACGTGTGCGCGTTCACACACAGGTGCACTCGTCATCGGTCGTTTCTTCGGTCGTTTTACGTCATCCCTGTATATCTCTCTATCCTCTTTTTGTTTCTTCATTCTTCTCTCGGAGAGTCTCGCAACCCTTCTACAATTTCGCGCGCGTGCCCTCGTAAAAGTTTCAGCCAGGCGTGCGACGAACTCGGAGAGAGAGAAAATACACGAGCTCTCTCGTGCAGCACGACACGCTTAAACATTAATCCGTCATTTCCGAGTATTAATTCCATACGCGCCGTCGCGGCGACATTCGACTGGATTACCGGCCTTGTATATCGTTTCAAAGAGGGAACACGGAGAGAAAGGGTTTCGCCTTCGGGGAGGCAAATATTGTTCATCAGCAAGCGGGTAACGAAGGGATGCGAGATTATAGGAATTGCCGTCAGGCGAATACAGCCTGGGATTATTTGTTTCTCGATATCTCTGTGTCTTATATATCGATATATGTATATCTCTTCCCTTCTCTCTTTCTCATTCTTTTTTAATCTTCCACGAGAAAAGCGTACGTTTATCTTTACAATGCGACATTTTCACGTTTCGCTCCGATGTTTCGTCACCGATGATATTATCGAATTTCGATATTTTTAGATTGCATTATGAATACGTAGAAACAATCAAGCGTTGCGAAGAATTACGCTATCATTATATTTCAGTAATACATGACGCGTTACCACTAACATTTTCTCGAGGTAAAACGTTTACGTTTAAATTACATGTACAAATAGAAAACATGATTATATACTTGGAGCATCTCTTATAACTTCTTGTCAAATTATTATACTCAATTTATATTCTCTCTTAATTTATATTTTCTAATTCGAAATAAATATTTACACATTTTTGCGATTAAATTCACAGTATTCCGTTGGCTTGATTAAATTTAATTTAATTTAATATTCTCGCTCTTTGCATGTATAATGCGCGCATATGTTGCTATTACATTTCATTTAAAAAAAGAGGCCGCTCGTTCAGCTCGGGCAGCTTCTTAGAAGCGATTAGACGTAATTCAGCCTTGTGCCGCGCGTTGTCGTCACGAGACCTTCCAGCGCCGAAAATCGGTTGCACAAGAGGAATGCGAGGCCTTTCGCCTCCGTTACGTTGCGGCAATGCGTCGTAAGTGGTGCAACCGCAACGACTTTCCTTCCTACGCGTGTGTAGGTATGTTGATTGAAGCGACTTTTTTTTGTTACGTCAAAATCTCGAGGTTTCGATGCGCATTGTGGTGATTTTTTTTTTTTTTTTTTTTTTTTGCTGTCGCTCTCTGTCGCGACGGGAATATTCCGGTTTCGATCGATCACAGTCGCACAGATCGAGTTATGCAATTGC